CATCACAAAGACCGGTCGGCAAGTTGAATGATGACTCTGATTTTTGATAAAGGTCCAATTCCCATTGTTTTATAGCTTGAGTAGGGTAAGACATTAATTGATGCCCCAAGGTCTAGCATGGCACGTGACACAAAAAGGTTACCCATTTTACAAGGAACCGTGAATACACCCGGGTCCTTGCATTTTTTAGGTAGCCGTTTTTGTGACATGGCTGAAACGTTTTCCCCAACTTTCACAGTTTGATTTCCTTTAAGATTTTTCTTAGATGTGCAAAGTTCCTTAAGTAACTTAGCATATCTAGGAATCTGTGTAATAGCATCTTAAAGAGGGATATTGATTTCAACCTTTCAGAACATTGCCATGATCTCGTCATCTTCCCGTTCTCTCTTTGTGCTTGTTAGCCTTGAAGGAAATGGGGCCGGTGTGATTTTTGCTTTGATGTCATTTGGATTTTTTGGCTTTGAAGTATCATTCTTTTCATTTTCTTTGACCTCTTCATCCACTTCAATCTCCCTTTCTTCCTCTTCTTCATCCGGAATCCTTGGGCCTTCATAGTTTTTTCCTCCTCTCAAAGTAATGGCACATGCATTATGTTTCGAGTTCTTCTCGGTTTGGGATGGTAGCTTTCCTTATGATTCTATTTTGCTCACGGATTGAGCAAGTTGTGATACTTGTTGCTCCAATCTTTTTATGCTTGCCTTGGTTTCTTGTTGGAAGCTTTGAGTGCTAGTGGCAAGACTTTTGACAATATCTTCTAATGACATGCTTGATGAACCCGTTTGTGGAGGTGGTTGTTGTGGATGCCTTGGCTGGAAATTTTGAGGTTGAAACGGTGGCCTTTGTTGATTTTGAGGAAATGGTGGTCTTTGTTGGTATTGATGTGGTTGACTTGGTTGATAACTTCCATGTTGATTTCCTCCCCAACCTTGATTGCTGTTCCATCTTTGGTCAACCCATGGCTGCTCAAATCCCCTTTGGTTTGACCCAGAATACCCTCCTAAAGCATTTGCTTCCGCATAATCCTCATCTTGAATTTGAGGGTACATGTCGGTTGGATGCCCCACTGAGTGCAAATACCGCACGGGCGGGGTGTGGGTTGCACACCTTTATCTTTAGCTAACATCATGACCACTTTTGTAAGATCGGACAATTGGGTTTCAATTTGAGGAGTCTGGACTTCCTTTACACCTCGGGGTGCATCCGCGTACCATTCTTCATCATGACTTGAATGCTTAGAATCTTCAGCCATGTTCTTGATTAAGTTGCGGATTTCGGTGGGAGTCTTGTCGGGTAAAGATCCGCCACTGGAGGCATTGAGAAGCCTTCTTTCCATTGGAGTCATGCCTTCAATGAAGTATCAGAGGAGATCGTATTCGGTGATTCCATGCTTTAGACATCGGGCACAAAGTTTCTTGAATCTCTCCCAATATGTGTGAAAAGCTTCTCTATTATGTTGCTTGATTCCAATGATTTCCCTCCGTAGGGCTGAAGCTTTCATCTCTAGGAAGTATTTGTCCAAAAAGAGTCGTGCAAGATCTATCTCCGAATCAATTGGCAATGGTGTACCTGTACGGAAAGATCTAGGCATAAAAATTTAGTAACACCGTGTCCCCGACAACAGCGCCAATTTGTTAGGCGTGTCAAACCCAACAAATAAAGGGGTATGATATACTCCAAAAGAACAATACAATATTGCACTAAAAGGTAGTACAAGGCAAGTAGGGTCAATCCACAGAGACACGGGACAATCGGTCTATACCTCTATGCGCAAGGTATTTTGGTCACTAACCGTAAAGAGGGGGGTTTTGAAGGCAATGATTAGAACAACAAATTAAACACAAAAGTAATTGACTAAATAAATGGATTAAATTTAGAAATTGTAAAGACTCCAACTCTATGTATGACAACTTAGCAATGTTATTCCAAAATGACATGACACTTTCTCAATTCTATCTAAGATAGTACTTGAAAGCGTTAACAAGCTCTGACATTTCCCATTCACCACATTAATTAACCAAAACAAGCTCTTTGATTAACCCTAACCTTACTAACCTAATCTAAACAAGCTCTTAGAATTGGATTAAAAGATTGCATTAAGCTTTATGCGAATGTTCCCAACAACACCCAATACTCCTCACAAGCTCGGGAGTGTAAAAGTGTGTGAAAAGATTTACACTAAATTCATTCAATGGAAATCAATTTAATGCTTGTTACTTAGTCCAATTCACAAATCAATTACGGATTTTGCAAAATGAATAACTTGAATGACCTAACCCTAATTCAAATGGCCAATAAGAATCACAATTAGAATCAAACATTCGATTGAAGCAAAATCAATTTCACTAGATAGAAATTAAAAGCAAACATCAAGTCATATGATTGAAGTCACAACCAAGAAGTCAAAACATGAAGTTGGAGAAACTAGGGTTCTAGCCACACATGGCTAGAACAAAATCACAAGTTGTAAAGATGGAAATGATGTGCAATTACAACTTACAAATAAGAGAAATAATGTTTCCAAATGCTAAACGATCACATCCTTGCGAAAACCTTCGAAAATCCCTCACCAATAGTGCTCTGATATGTTGTGTCTATGTAAAAATGACCCAATTCCTGTGATATGAAAAATCTGAAAACTGCAAAAAGTTGGTTTTTGGGTCGAACACGGCCCGTGTCAAAATAGAACAAATCAACACGGGTCGTGTTGAGTGGGAAATGGCAAGCAATCCTTGACTTTTCATTCCAAAGTACAATGCTCATTTGGGTAAACACGTCCCGTGTCAAAATAGAACAAACTGACACGAGTCGTGCTCAGTGTAGTCAACAACCCCTTTTTCTGGTCAACACGGCCCGTGCTCCTTTTGCAGTGTAAATCCAATACGCCCCGTATACCCCTCTAACTCCAATTCCAAACTTCATTTTTTCAGCTTTTCCGCTCTTCGCCCGATCATCCCGAAATCTTCACCAATGCTTCCCGGCACCTCCCAAAGCGCGTCCCAACCTCCGGTTTACCTGAAAAAGACATGAAAGTGTGCAAATAAGGTTATTCTAGAGACTAACATGAATATGATGAAATACAAGAAAAAGGAAGAACAATTATGCTAAATAGATGCATAAAGAGGGACTAAAAGGTGTGCAAAAATGTGCACAAATTGCACCTAACAATGTCTTCACATACAACTCAATGATTAATGTATCATATTAAATATTTGTCTTTGCATGTGGTACGACCTTGTTGGATAAGCTCTTTGAACTTTACATAGTAGTTCTCCACATAAAAAAAATTCCATTGTCTTTAGTTCCTCGTATGGTAATATCTCAAATGTATAAGAGAAAATCTAACTACTTGAGGATCTTTTGGAAAAAAATTTGTAATCTTAATTTTAGAATGTATTTAAGATTCTTAAATTGGATGTTTGTATGATGCTAATTTTTATTTATTTATTTATTATTATTATTATTATTATATTATTATTATTATTATTATTATTATTATTTTGTATTTTGCACCTTTTAAATGACTCATTTAAGCCTTTTTCATTAAAGATGGTATTAGTTATTAAAATTTTTTCACTTATTTCAAATGAGCATGCATACTTTGCTATAACACAATACACAACATATTTCATGTAATCTTTGTCAAATCTGTAATATAATTTAAAAAAAATTAAAAATAAAAAATCCGTCCTGAGGCAAAACCCAAACTTTTTTACTAATTTTTACTAAATCATATAGACAATTTTAATAAAGATAAATTGTTATCTTGACCCACAAAATTTATAAGATAAAAGTAACGAGATTATAGGATATGGCCAAAAATCATCTTTTACTTTTTGAATGCTACGTTAAACTTTCCATTACTCTTATTTCATCCAGAAAATGATCACTTTTCGCTATCTTTAATTTTTATTAAAAAAATATTTTATACAGATATTATACTTGTTTTTTAGGGAATTAAAACCATGAATTATATTATATTTTTTATAATTTTTTAGCGCGTCCGAATTTTAGACATCGAAAAATTCGGATAATAGATTTTAATATCCGAATTCGTATCCGAAATTTCGAATACGCATTCGGATTCCAAAATCGGATATCTGGAATTCTTATTTTTTAATCACTATTAAATTTTAGTCCATAAAATTAATGTTTTATCCTGGTTGAGATCAATAAAAACCTAACGCGTTGCTAAAGTTGAGATCAAATAAACCCAGAATCAAGCTGCACAAAACCATAAAACAACCAATATATGAACCTATTGATAGTCTACGAACCTAATTTTATATTAAACAAATTAAAAACCATCAAGTATCAATTTGAAACACACAAACAATGAATGGTTAAGTCACTGTAGGTTGCGAAACAATTAGAACCATTGACTCAAAGCTCCATTCTTCGATTGCTAGCTTTTATTTCCACAAATTAAAACACATTTAATAAAAAAATAGTAACATATTGTCAACTAACCAATTTGGTCTAAAACCAGCAACAACATCGATCTTTGTTCATAAAATTAATACAGTATTATATTTGAATGAACATGGAACATAATGAACATTACATGTCATTAGCAACCATGATTTAGATCTAAGCAAAATAGCAAAAGCTAATGAGAGAAAATATAATAAAACAATTAAAAATCATATATTTTTAACTTATTCCAAGTTTATATATTCAAGCAATAAGATAAAATATAAAAAATCTTAATTTCGGATACCGGATATCCGAAATATCCGAAAATGTTTAAAGTGATTATCCGTATCCGAATCCGAAAATTCGGATATCCAAAATTCAAATATCCGAAGTTTCGGATAATTTTGGGTTCAGATATCAGATTTTTCGGATCAGGTCTTCGGATACGAGTTTTTATGAACACCCCTAGTTCGAGGGTGCGGTTCTCTTTCCCGCTCCATAACCGCCGGTCTCGTAAAGATAAAAAAATAAAAATAAAAACTTATTTAAGTAATTAAAATTTTTTAAATCATAATTCTTCTGTTTGGCGACGCTAAAACCTTACGGATCCCGAGTCCGTTTTCAAACAGGACAGCTTTCAGTATCGCTAGGAAAACTGCATCCCCAAAATTTCAGTAATTAACCAAAACCCTAGAAAATGCCACCATCGACCTGACTTTCATTAGCGGTTTTCCGGAGGTTAGCGAGCATCATAGCACCGCCGATTCAAACAATGCCGGAAAACAAATCCATTCAATTCAGGTCGTCCTCCATTAAAATCCCTCCTTTTGTCCCTATTCACCACCACCGGCATCAACACCATCACCGCCGTCCACTTCCTCTCTTCGCCGACCTCCGTCTTTCAATTTCTTCAATTTTTAACAATTCCAAACACTCACTCACTCAATTCATATCTTCTTCCATCAGCAAATTCCAACCGAGTACTCAGAAACCTCCAAAACCTTCAAACCCTTTTCACTCCAAAAAACCACCACTACTGTGCTCGGCTTCATTGGCGTTGACCCGGGGCGACGAGGAGGGCGGTGAAGTAACTCAGTCGAGTAAGAGTCATTCGGTGAGCCGACATGACGACGAGCGTGTGCTAATTAGTGAGGTTTTGGTAAGAAATAAGGACGGAGAGGAGCTTGAAAGGAAAGATTTGGAGGCAGAAGCCATTGCGGCATTGAAAACATGTCGACCTAATTCAGCTTTAACTACACGCGAAGTTCAGGAAGATGTGCATAGGATCATTGGAAGCGGGTATTTCTCTTCTTGCATGCCTGTAGCAGTAGATACTCGTGATGGCATCCGTTTGGTGTTCCAGGTATGCTTAAAAACTCATACTTTGGGTTCTAATTCTATGTAATTAATAACCTTTAAGTATGTAAGACATATCTATAGTTCTATACACTAGTATGGAGTTATTTACACCAGTATCTTTTGGCATAAGGTAGAACCAAACCAAGATTTCCAAGGGCTGGTTTGTGAAGGAGCCAATGTTTTGCCAACAAAATTTGTAGAAGATAAATTTCGTGATGGATATGGTAGGTATCTTTCATCTTTTGAATGAATGAATTCTCCATAAAGTTAAGTTACTACTGTGTTTAACTGATATTTTGTTAAGTTATGCAGGAAATATTGTAAACATACGACAATTAGACCATGTTATAAACTCCATTAACGGGTGGTATATGGAGCGTGGCCTTTTTGGTTTGGTTAGCATCCGACTTCATTACCATTTTCTCTTAAACAACATATTTGATAATTGATATCCAAAAATGGTATATACTATATAACAGTGTTTATTATGATGAAATTGAAATCATCAGGTTTCAGGAATTGAGATTCTCTCTGGAGGAATTATTAGGTTACAAGTTTCAGAAGCAGAGGTCAACAATATATCCGTACGTTTTCTCCGTAGAACGTAAGAAGATCTTTATTTTTTCTGATTATATAATCCTTTAATTTGAAGATATTTTGACATTAACTTCTGTTATTTGGTGTTAAAATCCAGTGGTGAGCCAACTACAGGTAAGACAAGGCCTGAGACAATTCTTAGGCAACTTAATACCAAAAAGGGTCAGGTATTCTAAACAACATGTAGCAATAGCTTTCTTCTTTTATTAAAGTTTGTTAAAATGAAGATGTAACATGAAAGTTGAAATGCTATTATCAGGTATATAGTATGCTTCAAGCAAAAAGAGATGTAGACACATTGTTAGCTATGGGAATTATGGAAGATGTTAGTATTGTTCCACAGCCAGCTGGAGGTAACATAACTGATGACATTCCAATTCATATAATCAAGATTCAGAAAATAGAATAAAGTCTTGTACTCTTGTTTATAAATCAAAGATGTTGCAATTTTCTACAGATTCAGGGAAGGTGGACCTCACAATTAATGCAGTTGAACGTGTAAGTGGAGGTATCTCAGCTGGTGGTGGAATTTCAAGTGGGTATGTTATTTTTTTTATAAAAAATAAAAGATTTCGATTTTTATTTGTTGATTTATAGTAGTTTTACTTATTTCTTTCATTTGTAGGATCACAAGTGGCCCTTTAGCAGGACTTATTGGAAGGTAATAATATAATGTCAAAGATTATAACTTTGAATTTGTTTGTATAAAGATTATAACTTTGAATTTGTTTTTTTATTAAAGTTGTGCACTTTATCATCGAAATCTATTTGGGAGGAATCAAAAGATAAATCTTTCACTTGAAAGGGGACAAATTGACTCGATCTTTAGGATCAACTACACGGATCCTTGGATTGAAGGAGATGATAAAAGGACATCAAGAACAATAATGGTTCAGGTACCCTTTTGAAATTTGAATTTAATTTTGTAAAAAAGATTAGATTTTTATTTATGGGTGTTTGTGTTTCAGAATTCAAGAACCCCTGGAACTCTTGTTCATGGAAATCAACCCAATAACACTAATCTAACCATTGGAAGGATTACAGCTGGCATTGAATATAGTCGTCCTTTTAGACCAAAATGGAGTGGAACAGCAGGGCTTATTTTTCAGGTATTATAAATTTATAATAATTAAAAAAAAATATGTTGATGGTAAAAAAGGTGAAACCTTTTTACCTCTGTTTGTTTGGATGGAATGGAATGGAATGAGTCATTACATTCCATGGTCATGTTTGACTGTTGTGTAGGAATGAAATGATTTTTTATTTTTATTTTTTTATATAATATATGTAAATAGAATGTATAGTTTTAAGTTTTAACTCTATTTTATATGTTATTTTAATTATTATTAACGAAGTTTTATTTACAAAAAGAAAGTTGAACATAATAGAAAGTCATCAAACCCGAAATAAGTTATAAAAAAAATAATATTTTTTGTTATTTTACAACAATAACATTTTTTTAAAAAATCTTTTTGTATCATTAAAATATACATAAGCAAAAAATTGTTTTATTGCTATTTATCATTCCAAATATTTTAAAATGAAAAACAATATGTTCTCACTATTTTACAAAAAGTAACATTGTAATTTAAATAAAACACCTAAAAAAATCTAAATCTTATTGTGTTACTGAAGAACACATAAATAAAAATTTGTTAAATTCCAATTTAGCATTCCATCACAAATTTATAATTAAAGCAATACTTTTCGTGATTTTACAACAATTACAAAAAAAATTCAAATCTTTTTGTATAATTAAAAATTACATAAGTAAAAAGTTGTTTTATACTTCTATTGCACCATTTATAATTCAAATAAGTTCAAATAAACAATATGTTTCCGTAATTTCACCAAAATTAACATTATAATTTTCATAAAATACCAAAAAAAACATAAATAAAAATCCATTATATCACAATTTATCATCCATCACAAAAAAAAAAAAACACTCCACGACTAAGAATGAAAATTAACAAAACGGAAAGGATCACGTACCATTCCATTCCGTCGAGCAAAACAAACTATGGAATGGAATGAACCATTCCATTCCATCATTGATTCCTTCATACCAAAACAATACCTTACTATCATTCCACAATTCTGTCCAACATTATTTATATTTTTAAATATAAATAATAAATAATAAATTTTGACATTAAAAACAGCGTGCTGGTGCTCGTGATGAAAAAGGGAATCCAATGATACGCGACTACCATAGCAGCCCACTAACCGCAAGGTAATTTTCACCTCTTTCCTATTTAGTCAACCTATTTTCAAAAACTTGACAAATGACAATTTTCTCCTCATATTTTCAATGTAGTGGAAATATCCATGATGATATGGTACTTGCTAAGCTTGAAACTGTTTACACTGGTTCAAGCGACCCTAGTTCTTCAATGGTAACACATATATATATAACAAACTTTTATTTTTCTTCTCTATAATTACGAAAATGCCCTCACAGCTTTTAAATTTTTTCAGTTAGTTGTAAATATGGAACAGGGGCTTCCTGTTTGGTCTGAATGGCTGGTTTTCAATAGGGTTACTTGTCGTGCAAGAAAAGGCCTTGCAATTGGCCCTGCTTCCCTTAATTTGAGGTAATAATAATATACATGAAATAGCAATCTACTTTTATTATTATTATTATTATTATTATTATTATTAAAACAAAAGTTGTTATGACTTATGAGTAGTAAAGTTTTAGGTTTTTAGATTTTTGCCACTAAAGTTTTTATTTTAAATTTTGGCCACAGTGCATAGTTCTATAATTTTACATTTTTGGCCCAAGTTTTTGTTATTTTAGACTTTTGGCGACAAATAATCTTAAAATTTAGCAATTTGTTTTAGACTTTATCCACAAAACTTTCTTATTTTGGCATATTTGATCCTTAAACTTGTAAAATGCCACTTTTAGCCCCTCAATTCTGAGCACCAACATTTTTCATCCCTTTACCTTTCGCATGTTTGCAGGTTTCACATGCTTGGTCTTTATGTAGAAAATAAATTACAATAACGGTCCTTGTGCAGAATTATATTTACATGAATGGTTCGTTTGTATAAAAAATTACATAAATGCCCGTCTAATAACAAATATTAAAAAGTGAGCTTTTGTCCTTACGTAGAAAATGAATTATGAAAATGGTCCCTATGATGTTTCTTTTTTCAAAAACAGTCCCTGTAATTTTCTAAGCAAAACCTTTTCTATGTGGAGGGGCATTTTCTAGTTATTATTATTATTATTATTATTATTTTTATCAATGTTGGCCAGTAACCTGATATTATATCTAAATTGCTGACATGGCAATGTACACTTTTTAATCCATAATAGGAACTTACATTACTCTTAATACTGTTTAATAAAAGAAAGAAGTAGGGTTATTTTCGTCTTTTTAACTTGTTTAAATTATTGTATGAATACACAGTCTATCTGGTGGACATGTTGTGGGAAATTTCCCTCCCCATGAAGCATTCCCTATTGGTGGAACAAACAGTGTGAGAGGATATGAAGAAGGAGCAATTGGATCAGGGAGATCTTATGCTGTTGGTTGTGGAGAGATTTCTTTCCCTTTGGTAAGTTAGTTTATTTTAGTTTGAAATGCCTATTTTACCCTTGATTGTATTTGGTTGACCTGGCAGGTGGGGCCCGTGGAAGGAGCCATGTTTGCTGACTATGGAACTGATCTTGGTTCAGGCCCAACCGTTCCTGGTAATTCCCTTATTTTATTTTTTTCAATCTATTAATAATTTAATTTTTAATTTTGATTTTTAAAAGGGGATCCTGCGGGGGCTAGGCTAAAGCCGGGAAGTGGATATGGTTATGGAGTGGGAATGCGTGTAGCGTCTCCTTTAGGTCCTCTTAGACTTGAGTATGCTTTTAATGATCAAGGAACAGGGAGGTTTCACTTTGGAGTTGGTCAACGAAATTGACTTTTTATTTATTTATTTATTTTTTTTAAAGTTTTGAGTATATTATCTTTATGGTGGGAAAAAATATGTTGTCTAGAAACGAGGGACTTAATGTGACAATAGAATAATCTTTTTTATGCATCGAAGATATTTTTATGTGGGCACACGTGAGTTTAGATCTCTTGCACATGTGCTTGTGATCTTGAATTCTTGATTTGTTCGATGTTTCGAAGAACAATGTATTTAGTGTCTTTTAAGTCCATTGGAAATATGCCTTTTGATTATGTTAGTGTTTTGAATTCGATATTCCATATTTAAGTCACTTTCATTTAGTTAAAAAAAAGCAATTCTAATCCCTTGGGAAATCTCTATTTGCTACAAAATTGGTTTTATGTATGATCATCATAATGAAAAAAGAAAAAAAGAAAAAAGAAAAAAGAAATGTATGAACGTTTATCCAATGAAGTTGCAGTTTTTCGATGCTAAATTGTTTAAAAACTTTAAAGACAAATTTGAAGTTCTTTTTTTTTTTTGTGAAGATTTTTGAAAATCAATTTCGCAAGAAATTTGGTGGTGCAAAAATAGAGTTTTACGAGGGTTTTTGAAAAATTAATTTGGTGTAAAAATAAGAAAAAGATATAAATAGAATGTTACTAAAGGTTTTTGGCCTAGCATAATCATGAGTTGACACATAAGTCTCATTCACCTGAATGTTACTAAAGGTTTTTGGCCTAGCATAATCATTTACGATCTCAAACACACATCAACTCCTCACCTTCCTCACTCTTTCTTCTGCTCCATTAGAACCTGCAAAATACACTCATTTCTTATCCATAACCCCTAATCGAAGCAACAAAGAGAAGGTGATTTCATACGTTTCAAGTCGAAATGGTGTATGTAATGTGGCAGACCAAACCAAAAATTAAAGCTTTGAACGTATCTTCCATATATATGGTAAGTTGCCCAGTTTTCTTTAACTTTCCTATTAAAAACATTTTCCCATTGATTTCCAAACTCAAAAATGCAAAATTTTGACTTTGTTATCATGTATTGTTTATTGTAGCGGGTGCACCTATATGGTTTAGTATTAAGCTACATCACTGTAGGAAGTTTACTAAGTTACCTAATATAAAAGTACATTGGAGGTGAAGTGCGTTATGTTGATTATGTGGACATATATGAGTTCTTTATACACGAACTTGATGCCATAATGCTTGACCTAGGTTACCCAAACCCACAGATGAATGAAGTTGATGTCTCAGACTCCCTGATCATATACTACCATTTTAAGATACCCAATGGTGACTTTCAATTTGGTCTTAGAGCTTTAGGGAATGATCAGGATGTTATCAATCTATCTAAAAACATTCCACATAACAAGTTGATTGAGGTGTACACATAACATGAGATGACAAATCTACTGATTGACTTCTTGCCTCCAAATGTAAAAGGTAAAATTATGATTGAGGAATTACCTGCAAATGATGATCAAGAGGCTGAAGTTCATGTGGAATCTTCGTTGAGAAATATGAACCATGTTAATGATGAGCCTATTGGTGAGTACATGTCTTTGATAGTCGGGGACTCCAAAACAGTTGAAGGTTCTTATAGCAAGAGACTTAATTTAGATGGTATTGATGAATTAAAGGAAAAGACTACTGATCAGGATGCTACAACATGTGTTATGGATAATGAGGGTTTTCAAGGATGCTACAAGCCAAGTACTTCAAATATTGATATTGTTGGGGATGAGATGAATGGTGTTCAGGATAATGAGCATATTGAAGGATGCTACAACACCCCCTGCTAATGATGATGAACAATTTAATGAGCTGTTTGATAACCTTATGGATAATTTATTTGGAAGTGAAGAGGATGATGTAGAATATGAAGAGGATGATGTTGAGTATGAAGATGAAAATCTAGAGTATGAAGATGTGGTTTCAAACTCTAAAGATGATGAGGTTCCAGAGAAAGTGAAACACCCTAAAGATGAAAATCAAGTGGACTAGATAATAGATGAGGAAAACAATATCCAAGATGTGGATGTGGACATGGCATACTTCATTTTCAATGTTGACAGTGATGTGGAAGGAGGATGTATTAATGGTGTTCATGTTTGGTGATGAACCTGAAGACATGGAAGTCATAAACAATGAGAAGTTTGATTCTTTGGATGAAGGATCAGACCAAGACAGACAAAGATCTTATCAAAAATTTGGGAAAAGAAAAAAGGTGTAGCCTTGGGGAAATACACAAGTTATCTTTCACGGTTAGTCAGAAATTTAAAAGTAAAAAAAAGAATTGAAGGAGCAAATTGATGTCCATGCACTTGAAAAAATAAGGGATATCTTTTTAAAAAAACGACAATCTAAGGCTTAGGGCACAATGTAGAGGAGTTGTCCCTGTCAACAATAAAGGCCAAGTTAGTAGTCAAGGAACCACTTCTAAAAGCAAGGGCAAAGAAGTAAAATCACAAAAAGTTAAATGTGGTTGGTATATACATGCTTCTAGGTCAAACCCTGAGTCTGACTGGTTTATAAAGACCTTAAATCATACTAACACATGTTTACAAACAAGGAAACTTAGGACTTGCACTGCTACATTAATTTCCAAGAAAATCATAGATCTGTTGGATTAATGTCTAAGTCCATAACTATATTTGGTATGTACTTGACCCGACCCGGCATGGTCCATTTGGGTTGCACTTCACCGGCACAATTTATATGGATAGTCTTTTGAGAATAGTATATTTATGATTTATATTAATATATTATAAGTTCTAATATATTAATATGGAATCATATTATTTAATTAGTATTGATCAAGAATTAATTTAGAATTAATTAAGTGATCAAAAAGAACTAATTAAATATGGACTCTTATATATATGGAATGGGCCAAGTTCATTTAGGTTGGGCTAAGCTTTCATGGATGGTCCATGGAGCTTTTAACCCATGGATCCTATGTAAATGAAAGGTCATGGGTATTAGGGTTTACATGAATGTAACCCTAATCCTCCATAATATATAAAGGGGTCCTTGGCTCACAAAATTGGCACAAGTGTGTGAAAATAAGAGTGGGCCGATATTAGTGTGCATACATATTCTCTCAAGTTCTTCCAAGGTGTTTTGGTGATTTGTGATTCCATTTGAAGCTTCCACACTATTGGGGCTAAGCTCTTAAAGCTTGAAGACATCAAGCTACATCAAAAGGTATGTCATCTAACTAGAACTTTATAGTATAGGTGCTTCATAATATGCTAGTTAGGATGAAACCTTGGAATAGTTAATATTTGCATGTATAATAGAGAAAACATAGATCCAAGGTTTATAGGGTTGCATGTACACCATAGGAGTGTTAGAATGCTCAAAACCCAACAGTGGTCTCAGAGCCATGGGTTGTTTTCTGTTATATTGATGCAAATGTTTTATTTTCAAGTTGAAAAAAAAGGAAAAAAAAAACATGACGTTTGTCAAATTTTAAGATAATTACTTGTTTTGTGAAAAACGAATTATTTGTAAAATTTGAATCATTTGTTATATGAGTTGAATTAGGTCAAATTTAGTAAAAGATAAAATGATATGATTATTTTATTAGTTTTAAAAGTTTGATCTAAATGTTTTAAGGAGTTACATATTTTGTCATAAAATTTTGGAGCTCAAAAGTTTTTTTTAAAGTTGTGATCTTAAGGGTTTTTGAAACTTCCATAAGTTATGGATATGAAAGTTTTTTTTTTTAAAAAAAAAATTTGATTCAAAGTTTTTATGGAGTTACAAAATTTGGTGTTAATGTTTTAAAGAATTCAATAACTTGTTCTTAAGTTATGGAACATGGAAAGTTTCATCATAAAACACCATTAATTCCATAAGTTATGGAATCCAAAGGTTTTCAAGAATTACAAAACTTGCCCTCAAGTTTTGGAATTTGAGAAAAGTTTTTTATGAAAAAAAGAATTGAATTCTAAAACTCTTGGGTTCATAACTTAAACAATTAATTAAATGGTTTTAATTTTGAGTTTAATAATTGGAATTATGATGTTTTGTTGAATAATTCAAATTAACTCTTATGGACTTTATTAATAGTTAATTAAAGCGTTTAAATAAAAGAGTATTATTAATCCATAAATATATGGTTTGAGTTTAATTAAATTAAAAGTCTAGTTTAATTAATAGATTAAACCACCAAGTATTTTAAATGTCTAAAATACACCCTTATACTATTATAATATTAAAAGTTTAATATATTATATGTATAAGAGCAAGTCGTCTTACCATTATAGGCCTCATTCACGAAGCCGGTCTATAAGGGGGGTATAAGGTTACTGCCTATAAAATGGCAGTTTAATGGGTGTCCACTCTCACTCACCGCTTCCTTGACCGGTGGATGGTCGTTAGCCGAACAGGTAGGACAAGGACTATAATTCTCCCTTCATTATAAGTATAATGATAAATACTAAGTAACTAAACACTTATAAATTCAATCTTAGTTACTTAGGAAATGTGAATAAGGTGCTAATCCATGAAATTACACTTTGCACTTTGTTTAAGCTGTTAGTGGAGCGTGTGTGGTTAACCGGCACACTAACCTGGACTTAACAAGGTAGGCAAAGGGTAACTTAATGTTTATCATAGTATCGTTGGAGCGTGTGTGGTTAACCGGCACATCGATTGAGGGGTAAATATTAAGGGTACCAAGTATATTTGCATGGTTACTTCACACCTTGTTTTGTGATCCTCGGCATCCCAGTCACAAAACCTGAAGGGCACACTCGAGATTGAAACATGTCATTGAAAAGTTCAATGAATCTCAAAAGAATCTAGGAGTTTCAAAACCAATTAAAACCTAATAATACATTTCGTTTATCTTGGTGGAAATTGGTGAATTGTCATTCACCTACCTTCAAATATTTTATAGCTTGGATTACGACATCCCTCTTCCAAGTTATAAAATAGTTTGTTGGGTCCTAGCCTTAATATATCATATTGGGTGTTATATTAAGGACTTAAATCAACTTTACGTGAATTTCTCCCATTGTTGATGTCTGGTTTAGACAACAATGATCTTCCCAAACCAAGCTTTCCTAATGAATATGACTTCCCGAGTTTGGCTCATGGAAGTCATACTTCTCTTCCTCTACCTCCTCCAATTATTCTCCCTAACCC